TGTTGTTAAGTGCCGTTGAGTCGGTTCCGACCCATAGCGACCCTGTACAGGGTTTTCGAGGGTGTAAATCCTTACGGGAGTAGAAAGCCTTATCTTTCTCCAGCGGAGCGGCTGGTAGTTTCGAACTGCTGACCTTAAGGTTCGCAGCCCGATTCGTAACCACTACGCTACCAGAGCTCCTTATATATATGCTGTCAACTCAATTTTGACCCATAGCCACCCTGTATAGGGTTTCCAAGGAGCAGCTAGTGAGCTTGAACCGCCGACCTTGCAGTTCAAATGGCTTTGAAGTCTGATCTTTACGGGAGCAGAAAGCCTCATCTTTTCCCTGCAGAATGGCTGGTAGTTTTGATCTGCCAACCTTGAGGTTAGCAGCCTGATTCATAACCACTACTCTACCAGAGCTCATGTATATATACATATGTAATTATGGTTTGGATCAGATCTGGAAAGGATTTAATAAACATTATTGAGAAGATACCACATTCTTGAAATTTACAGATAGCAGTAAAATATATCTACTGGTAATTCCTATCCTGGTGTGGCACTGTAGGACAAGCACTGGACTGCTAACCAAAAGACTGGCAATACAAACCCACTAGTGTCTCCTCAGAAACCCTATGAAGGGTTTCTATGAGTCAGAACTGACTCAATAGCACTAAGCAACAACAACAATTGGTAATTTTATATGCCAAGAAATTTCTGTTTTCTGAAACTGATGTATCTTTTTTATTGATGCTGTTGTTAAGTGTTGCCAAGTTGGTTTAGACTCATAGTGACCCTATGTAGGGCTTCCTAGGAGTGACTGGTAAAGATTGCGCCACCAAAAATGTCCTAAGTACAAACTGACTATATTTTAATGTAACAGCTACTCACTCATGTAAAGTTCCAAATGTATTTTCATTCTAATTTTTTTCTTTTTTGAGGCTGGATAGGCTAATTTCAGTTAACTGTTGGGAGACAATACTCTGGTTATTATGACTAACAATGATCCAGATTAGCTGAGTCAGGCGGGAAAGGACATTGTGTACTTCCTGTCTCTTATAAAGGTAAGATTACAAAAGTATTTAATAACCATTGTGAGTTTAATAGGAAATTGTATGAACACTTTTGGTAATTCTCTCAATCTACGGTTACAGTTGAAGATTGTTTGTGTTTAAACTAGTTTAGATATCTAGAAAATGTTGTAAAACCAGGATCCTATTAAGCATAGCATTGCTAAGTAATCAACTATAAAAAACCATTAAAAGTTCTTTTTGGCTATCTCATTTGCACTGAGAAGAGTGAGTTGCACCACGGCTAAAGAAATAACAGTAATTGTTTTATAAGCACTGTGAAGGCAATAAAATGTGTATTCCTTATGTAGGTCCAAATGTAGCAGCTGGATTTGGCTTTATGAACCATGAAAAATAGTTCCCATCTGGAAGTTGGTGTTGAATAAAGATGCAATCACAAGACAGCATTTTACATGAAACATTTTGTACATGTTTATCCCAATCATTGGCACTTTCTATCTCTAAAATTGGAAACTATTAAATGAGTGTCAATGAGTTTAATGTCAAATATACTCCCAAACTTTCTTAATCTCAGCATAATGTTTGTTTTGTACATTAAAATGAAAATAGGCAGCAGCAAAATTATTTTTATATCCTCTTAATAAATATTTATTGTGGATGTTGTGTGCTGTTGAGTCCCTTCCCACTCATACCCACCCTGTATAAGATTTCTGAGCCTGTAAATCTTTACGTGAACAGAAAGCCTTAACTTTCTCCTGTAGAGCAGCTGGTGGATTAGAACTGCTGAATTTGTGGATTAGCAGCCCAATTATTTTAACAGTAGTTGTATATTATAAACATTGCATTTTACTTATTATAAGGGCAAAATTCTCATCCATAATGATGGTAAATTATTTACCCATTGACATATAAATGGCAATTTGAATATATCACTCATTCACTTATTATTTACCATATTACAAACAGTTGAGTTTTCTCCTTGAAGAAATTTTTTCATCAATCCTTCCATTAAAGAACAAAACAAAAAGAACTATATACATTTTCACTTGGCAGAAGAAAAATAAAAATGGAGGCTATTTCTTAATTCTGTGTGTTTTGGAAAGATGATTGGTTTCAATGTTTTAACCTGAAAATATTCCAACTGCTTCCCCCTGTATCCATTGCTACTCAATTTCTATCTTATCTCTTTTATAAATACAAGTATATGGCAAAAATTCCATCACATATTCAATTGCATCAGGATCAAATATGAATTTCAGAAAGACACATCCCC